ACAGCCCAGCTTCTCCAGAAAAACCCAAAAATTCAGAGGGGGAGACGATGCCCTTCCTGAGGATGCAGGACCCGTGTCCACCTGGGAAGACTTGACTTGCTCATGGCCCTTCCCTCTGCTTGCAGCCTTTGTGGGGTTTGCTGGTAGTGCCTTTCTGAACTTTGGGAATGGTTTTCCAACAGATGTTTGGGCTCTCAAGTTGCATTTTTGGTTTTTTCCCCCAAAACTGTCTCTCGTTTGCACACATTTTGTACTTTTTAGTTAAAAAATTCCCAGCTGCAAACCACATTTCTGGGAGGATCATTCCTTTGTGTTTCCAGTGAAAATGGTAACATTTCAATAAATCATTCTTGGGCTCTTTTTAAGTTTATTTTATGGACAATACTCGGAGCTGCTGGCTGGATTTGAGGACAAGTCAGATGTACCCGTCTGGAGGGGTGGTGGGGTGAGCTGAGCTGGGCTCCCAAGGCCAAGGGAGATGTGGGAAGATGCTGGTGGTTCCCAGGGATCAGCAGGATTACATCAGAGGCAGCACCTTCCCCACCTCCTATTTACAGTCCTTCCAGACAGGTTTCCATCTCAGAGTCCTCTGGAAATAATCATGGAATCACAGCATGGTCTGGATTGGAAACCACCCTAAATTCCATCTTGTCCCACCCCTGCATGGGCAGGGACACCTTCCACTATCCCAGGTTGCTCCGAGCCCCGTCCAACATGGCCTGGAACATTTCCAGGGATCCAGGGGCAGCCACAGCTTTTCTGAGCAACCTTCAGGCACTGGAAGGGGCTCTGAGGTTGCCCTGGAGCCTTCTCTTCTCCAGGTGAGCACCCCCAGCTCTCCCAGCCTGGCTCCAGAGGGGCTCCAGCCCTTGGAGCAGCTCCGTGGCCTCCTCTGGACTCTCAGAGCAGCTCCAGGTCCTTGCTGTGCTGGGAGCCCAGGGCTGGAGGCAGCTCTGCAGGTGGAGTCTCACCTGAGAGGGGCAGAATTCCCCCCTCCCAGCTCCCTACTCCGGGGATTAGCCTCGGGGGATTCTGGAGCCCCTGGGGCTGAGCAGGCTCCAGGCACAGGCTGGTCCTGCCAGGTGTGCCCAGCCCTGTTGCTGGAAGCTTGGCATTGGCTTATCCCCATCAAGGATACTGATTCCTACTGGGAATTAGGGATGTGCCGCCCTCAGCGTGGTCTCTCCTCTGTTCTCACCTCTGATGGGTTAACCCTCCCCTCTTCGCCGTTCTCCTCTCGGGGCAGCGTGCCAGGGATTAGAAGATGAGGTTAAAATTGCCTCCTGTAATTTACGCAGATTCCCTTCTCCCTTCCTGGGCGCTGCTGCCCGCTCCCCTCCGGGCCGTGCCCGCTGCCCCCTTGGCAGTGCCCTGCTCCCTGAGCATCCCGTGCCGCGGGATTTGGGATGCCCTTCCCGGGACGCTGGGGCGGAGGCAGCGGGTGGTTCAGCGCAGCCCTGCTCCATCCCAGCTGGAAGGAGAACGAGCCCAGGTGGAGGAAGGATGGGCAGGCAGCGAGCTGCGGCCGCGTTTGCATCTCCGTGGGTGTTTTCTTCATTAAAATGCTGTGGGAAGAGGTTACCTCGCCTGGCTCCGTGTTTGCTGCCCCTGAGCTGGAAGCAAGAGCCCTTTGTCAGGGGGAAAGGGAAGGAGCTTTGGCAGGAAGGGCTTTCCGTGGGCTGCCGAGGGCGTGCGGGCACCGGCCGTGGCTGCGGCTGCTGCCCACGGAGGTACCGAGATTTGGCAGGGGGAGGACGGGGGAGGGCATTTTTGGACAGTGTGGGTTGGGTTTGGGCTGCCCTGATGGCAAAGCCTGATGTCTCTTTTAAAAGCCAAAGCCCTCTCTGTGTCTGTCACCTGCATTTCTGAGCGTGTCTCTCTGAGGACCCCTCCATCCCCCTTATCTCCTGTGGGTGGTTACTGCCAGGAATTATCATCTGCCTCAGAACTGCTTTGATCTTGTTGCTCCCGGAAAAGGAAAACACGCGTTTTCTCTCTTTATTTTATTTTAAGCATCGTTTATCAGTGTAGCAACACCTTTAGGTGAAGAGGCTTGCGAGCAGGGCCCCCAAATCATCTGCCCCCTGAGGAAAAGGCTTGGGAGCCCCTGGGAGGATCGGGGTGGCTGGGGTGGGGGTGTCAGGGACCCCCTGTGTCCCCCACGGTGGGAGGTTTCACACAGCCGGGCACCCATCGGGCTCTCCCGATGCTCTCCGTGCCTCCGGGCAGGGCTTACCGGTGCTGGACATGCCTTGGAGGCAGCGCTGAAATGGATGCTGCTCACTGAGCTCCTTAATTGCTTTTAGTTGTAGACTTATTAAAGAACAAGATTTAAATAACGTCAGGGGGAGGAAGGAAAAAACACCTCAATAAAAACAAGCTGAAAGAGGGAGCGGAGAAGCTTCCCGTGGTGCCGAGTGGAGTTACCGCGAGGAGTCATCAGCAAAGGCTTCCAGGTTCCCTATTTTTCCTCCAAATCTGCTTTGAGTTTAAGCAAATCCCCGAAGATTGCCCATGAATAGTCATGCGGGAGCTGTCCCTGCCTGCGCTGCAGCCGCTATCCTAAAAAACCAGATTCCTGGCAAAAAGGAGATGAGAAAAAGCACCAGGTTTTCCTTGAATATTCCTTATTATTCGGGCAAGGCTTGTAGACACTTGCGCTGAGATCTGATAGGAAAAGATTTGCCCAATTATGGAATGGAAACGGTCCCGGGGGTCGCAGCCAAGGGAGGGAGCGGCTCCCGAGGCTCCGCCGGCCCAGCCCGGGCACGACGCCCCTGCCAGGCAGGGAGAGCTGCCCCTGCCCCTCCTGGCACGGCCCCACGCGTGTGGGTGTCAAACTCCGAGAGAAAAAAAAGAATCCCGAGCACCTGGGGGAAATCCAGCAGCGAAAAGGAGCCAAAACACTGCGGGAAAACTTCCCTTGATCACCCCTTGGTGTGCTCAGGGGTCGGGGAACGGGAGATGAATGCCGGGTTTGCCCTGAGTGATGGAGGCAGATCATAGGATTCATCCCGAGAAAACAGCCTGGAAGGGGCATTAGGAGAGGGGCTCGTTGTGTCCCCTGGGAGCTGATTGGGATCACGGGAGAGGTGGGAAGAGGGCGCCCAGGAACCCAGCACCAGAGCTCTCGGCGTGCCCGGGGGTTCTCGCTGGGATGTAGGATTCACTCAGGGCTTGGAATTCGCCCCAGATTGCTTCATCTTTTCCTGGTGGGAAAGACCTTTCCCCCAACGAACTTTCTAGAAGTTACTCTGGAGCTGGATGTTGGGATGTCAAATATCAAAGGAACAAAAAGCTGTGGGTCACGCGTTTCTTTCCACTGTATCCGGTAATTCCACCAGCCATCCCCTTTCCCTGGAATTCAGTTTTTTTCAGTGGAAAAGCAGATGGAAAATGGCTCAAAGAGGAGGAAAATGGCAAAAAAAAGGGGAGAAGAATGAGGTGGTAAATGAGAAGGAATTGGGAGATTGGGATGCTGGCAGGGCAGGAGCTCCTGCACTTCTGCAACCAAATACTCCGGGTTTGGCGTCTCTTTCCTCTGTGCCAAACCCAAAGCTGCCTGGTCTGATCCCAGAAATTCTTTTACGCATGTCTGAAGCTGGTGGGGGAAAAAAGGAGAGCAGCGATGTCCTTTGGCTCTCAGAAATGTCCCTTGGCCCACAGAGGGGTGGATGACCGGGATGTCCCTGGAGCCGGGAATGGCAGCTGGAACCGGGAATGGCTGCGGGAGCAGGCGGGGAAGGGGCTCGGCCGCACGGGGCCGGTCCCTGCCGTAGCTGCAGCTCGTTAAAGTCTGGCTGGAGGCGAGAGAGATCCCTCGATAAAGATGTGAAGCGAAGTCGAGGGTAAGTACAGTAATCTCCCAACTTCCCACCGGGGTGTGAGCGCCCAGGTTGTAAATAGGCTGGAATCAAAGACTCATAAACCATGCAAATTGCTCCGTGTGTGTTTGTCTGTCTCCTTCCCATGTCTTTGCCCCTCACCTCCTTCCTCTGAGTCTCTATCTCTCTATCTCTCCTCTTTCCATGAGCTCTGCTCTGCTCCCGACGAGCCTGTTCGGGCGAGGGAGGGACGCTTTAAAAGGCATTTTTGTGGTTCTGGGCAGCAAGTCAAAAAAAATCTGCTTTTTTTCCCCCCTGCCACCCTGCCCCCCTCCCCATTCCAGACTCAGGGACACGTCACCCCAAACCTACACAGCCATCAAAATAAACATTAATTAAGATATTTCCAGTGATCTTCGCTGTCACAAATTACCAGCCCCACAAAAGCAGCACTGCAACTGCTCAGGATGTTCAGTTTATCCCTTTTTGCGATTGCTGAGAGATAAAGCGGAATTTCTCCACTTTCCTCTTCTGCCTTTCAGCCCGTCCCGCTCCACAACGGGAGCCACCAGCGGCACCACGGGGCTGCATCCCCAAAACCTGCAGCGGGAATCACGGAGCCACGATCCGCCTAAATGGGAGGATAATAAAGCCCTGTGCTCTGTGGGATACTGGGATCCCCTCCTGGGTGTCGGGATGGGGTGTGGGAATGTGAGGATGCAGGGATGCAGCGGCGTTGGGATGTAAGGTGCGGGATGTCAGGGGATGCAGGGGTGTAGGGTGAGGGGATGCAGGGGATTGCAGGATTCGGGGAAGCAGGGATGCAGGGGCACAGGGGTGATGGGAGGAGTGCAGGGATGCAGATGTTCAGGGTGTGGGAATGCAGGGGATTAGGGGATGCAGGGGCACAGGGATACAGGATTGCAGCGCTGCAGGACCGAGGATGCAGGGATAGAGCCACGTGGATTCGGGTTCGCAGGGATGCAGGAGCGCAGCAGTGAGGAGCCCAGAGGGGCTGGATCTCCCTGTCCCGGCTGCCCGGGAAGCAGCACGGGCCGCCCGGAGCAGGCGGGCTGCCAGGAGCCGGAGCTGGCAGGGCAGGGTGGGGAAGCAGGAAAGGGAGCCCCGCTCCTCCTCCCCTCGGGGAGAGCTGTGGCTCTCGGCGGGAGGCTTGTGAGTACACACAGACTCTCTGGAGCCTCCCATGTAAATCCTGGCAGGACGCAGCCAGCTCTGAGCTCATTCACGTGAGATCACCGGCTCGTTCGGGGCTCGCGGGTGGGGACGTGCCGGGAGCTCCGCGGGACCCTGCCCCGGGGGGCTGCTGGGGAGCTGGGACAGGAGCTCAGCCCATCCAAGCCCTCTCCCTCCCGGTCACTCTTACAGCAGCACCGTGCCCGTGTGGCCGCACACGGCATTCCCCAGCCCCCTGCAGCCAGCTGGCAGGAACCTGCTGTCACACCAGGGTGCTGGCTCTGATCCTGGGGATGGCACATGGGACACCGGGGGTGACAGGTGGGACACTGAGGATCAGCCCCGACGCTTGGTGTCAGGTGTGACCCTGGGGATGGGAGATGGGACACTGGAGAAGGCAGGTGTGACCCTGGGAATGGCAGGTTTGACCTGGACATGGGAAGTCTGATCCTGGGGATGGAATGTCTGACATTAGGAATGGAAGGTGTGACCCTAAGGATGGCACTGGGGGACGAGTCTGACATTTGGGATGGAAGTTGTGACTCTGGGAATGGCAGGGCTGGCCCTGAGGATGGTGAGCTTGACCATGGGGAGGGAAGTTGTGACACTGAGGATGGAAATTGCGACACTGGATGATCTCATCATAGGGATGGAAGGTCTGGTCCTGGGAATGGTAGGTCTGGTCCTGGGGGCGGCAGGTGTGGCGCTGGGAATGGAAGATCCAGCCCTGGGAATAGCGGGTCTGACTCTGGGGACTGCAGATCTGATCCAACACTTGGATTTTCCACCCCGACCAAGGAGCAGAGGCCACGACAGGCGAGGGAAGAGCCCTGGGAGCGGCGATGCCTCGGGCGCATCCATCAGCAGCCGCGTGTCCCGGCACAGCCCCGGGCTCTCGGCACTTCCCTTGGGATGGGACACAGCCCCAGGTCACCTCCTGCTCCTCTGCCATCCTCCACCGCTTTTCCTTTGGTGTTCAAACCCTGCGGGAGCTTTGTCTGCAGTTGCGACTTCCCCCGGCCGCTGCTGCTCCAAAGAAAACAGATCCATGTGTTTGAAAATCTCGGCTTACACAGCATTCCTCCAGCTTCTGCTCCTTTTTGGGGCTTCTCCTTCTTCCTCCGGCTCGCTGACCTGAAAATGCACTTTGTGTTTTCCCTGGGAGAGGTGGATGAGGAGAGCTCCGGCATAGCTGCATATTAAACCCCGCGGATTTTCCCGAGGTGCCGCTGCCGCTCTCCCGCTCCAACAACTTTTTAATCACTCGCCCCAGATAGAGCCGATTAGATTTATTTTTTTTTCCCCCGCTAACAAAATCATGGCGTTTCCTGTGCTCCTTTCTGGCTATTTAGGCCCCTTTCATGTCTCCCTGCCTGGGGAAGGACGGCCGGCCCCGCACACCGGGATAGCGGCGAGAATTCCATGGAAAAGCTGCTTATCTTCCCTGGAATTCCATGGAAAAGCTGCTTATCTTCCCTGCCAGGTCATTAACGAGCTGGTGGTGCCTTTTGCAGGTCATTAAGACAGATGTTAAGGAATGGCCTAGGCAGTGTCCCCTTGGATATTCCCGCCACCTCCAGCCTCTGCAAGCCTGGGTACATTGCTACCTCATATATAAAAAAATATATATAAAAATATAAATATATAGATAAATATAATAAATAGAAAATATTTTATATATTCTATATATAAATTTACATATATAATATATTATATATTACAAAAATTCCTGTACCACATATATATATATATATATTTATAATATAACATATTATATATGATAATAGATTATTTATTTATTTATTTATTCATTCATTTATTCATTTATTCATTTATTCATTTATTCATTTATATAAATATATAAAACACATATATACCCTCATATAAATATGTACTAGTACATATATACCTACATATCTATTTACAAAATTTCATATATATATATATTTATATATATTTTATATATATACACACACATATACATACATACATATATATATGTGTGTGTATATATATATTTCTTTTCCCACCATATTCCTTGTGTAATCTCCCACTGTGCCGTTCAGGGTTGTTCCTTCTCCAGCAAATTTGAGGCATTTTCCACAATAATGGTCAAAGAGTTAAAGGCAGCTCCCTGGCACGTCTCACCCCTCACCTTTGTTCTTACAAGAGTGAGGTGATTCACTTCTGGTGGGGTTTTTAGGGTGTGTTTCCAGGTTTTCTGGGAATATCAGGATGCTCCTCTGTTGCCCTCTCCCCATGTCTAAGGTGGCATCAGCTGCTTGCCAGGGATTTTTCTTGTGGATTTTGTTGTCCCTTCTCTCTCCTTTTGCCAGCCCTCAGTCCCACTCTGCTCTTTCCCAGGGCACAGCCAAAGTCATGGATTTGCTGGAGATGTGGAATGATGTGGCCTGTTCCAGAGAGCAGCGGGAAGGCAGAGCCAGGAGGGAATTCAGCCTCTCTCACCCATTTCTGTGGCCTCATTCATTGAAGCCAATGTTCCTCCCCTCGCAGAGGTCTGGGGGAAAGGGAGCTGCTCCAGTGAGGATGTTTGGGATTAAACCTCTACTCCAGTTCCATTAAAGCTCCTGATTAAAGGGCTGGACTCCAGACAATGCTTCCCTGACTCCCCAGCGCCGTCAGCTGCTCCCCCAGCTCCCACTTTCCATCTCCAGCCCAACCCCGTTTCATCCACCTTTGAATTTTTCCCTTCCTTGCAGGTTTTATTCTTCTTAATTTATTTTTTTTTTAAACCCCAAATCCATGAGTGGCCACTTCTGCAAGCGATAAAAATCTTATTCCCTGCCTTTGGATTTTTTTATTTTTTTTTCCAGGCAATTGTAGCTTGCAACACCTTAATTATCGCAGCTCTGAAAACCGGTTAAAGATTTTAATACTTCCTTCCCCAGCCTATTATGCAGCGACTTCTCAGCCCCATAAAATGTTCCTCTGGAGCCCCATGGCCTCGTGCTGCTGCATTTCCCTGTTCTATCCTTTCCCGATGGATTAAACACCCCCAGCTCCCCCTTTCCCTCTCCCCTCGGGGCAGGTGGGAAGCGCCCGGATTTCCAGGTGGAAAATGGGGCTTTTTATAATTGAAATCCTATGACACAGCCAGCAAAAATGTTGCATCATTTTAATCAGGCAGCACATCTGCAGAAGGTGCAAGATTCCCGGAGCCTGAGCGCGGGAATGATGGGATAAATCACGGGAAAGGCAAACCCTTGACATCACCTTCATTGCTGGTTTTGATGCTCTGATTTCTCTGCTTCCCTGGCACCAATCCTGCCTGCCTGCCTCTTATTCCATGGGTACAAGGCTCTTTGGATGTCTCCTTAAAAACAAAAATTCCTGGGATTTTTTTTTTTTTGGGGGGGGGTTTATTTTTGTGTGGTTTTGTTTTTGTTTTACGGAGATTTGAGTTAATCACGAATTTTGGCCCCTTCTGTGCAGGGTTCCTTGGGAAAGCATTTTCCAGGGAGAGGGGCTGTGCCTCTGCCAGGGTGTTGGGGATACACGTGCCAGCCCGGTGAGATCTCATCCCTTTCATCCTAGAAAACACTTAGGGGGAATATCTCCCTGGTCCCACGGTGCCTGTGGGATGAGAGAAGTTTATTCCCCACCGATGTTTTATTTAGGTGAGTTTTAAATAACTCCAGCGCTTTCCTGGGGGAACCATCCCCCGGATTTCTGCACTAAGCACTTTTTCCTGGTGTTCAGCCGAATTTTTCTTTTTTTTTTTTTTTTTTTTTTTTTTTCCTCCCTGCTCGGAAATTTCTCAGGTAATTTAAATGTGAAGTGGCTGTGGAATACATTGGGCTGCAGCTCATCACTTGATGAAGGGCTGATTGGGCTCGGAGAGGCTCTGCCAGCAGGGAGGGAGGTGGGAGAGCCGGGAATTTTGGGGATGATGCCGGGTATCAACAGTCTAGTCTTTTTACAATGGAGCAGGTGGGGGAAAATTGCTCGGATCATCCCCAAAAATGTTGTTTTAATGAGGTTTTAGGGAGGTGAGGGAAGCCAAGAATCCAGAATCCACACGGGGTGGGAAGGGCACAGTGGGATGTGAGGGAAGAGGGCATGGGTAGGGCACGAGGCATCTCCTGGGCTCCGGAAAGTTGAAGAATTTGGAAATTCACCAATGCCCTTTCTTGTCCCTCACCGTTTGCACGTGAGGACTCTGGGGAGCACCAGGTCTGTGGGTGGCTCTGGGATCCCTCATGGAATGGGAGCCTGGATCAGCACCCCAGGATGGAGCTGTGTGGGAGCTGAGCCCCCCAAAACTCGTGACATCCACATGGGAATGTCCATGCCAGCTCCAGGAATGCCAGGACAGGGCAGGAAAAGGGAAGGGAGATGGAAATCCCAGTAATTCCTTATGGAAACACAAGGATGATCCACTGTGCCTGGAATTTTGGGGTTGAATGGGGTTTGCTGGCCACTGGACCTGCTCAGAGCCCCTGGGATATGGATCCCTTCCTTCTCCCCCCTGGAGCCCAGCCCAGATCCCGGTGTCATGGTGCACCTGAGGCAAGGAACCATTTCCCATTTAATTTATTGGGTTTTTTCCCCCCAAACCATCCAAGGAATGGTCCTGGTTGGCCACCAGGTAGATGGGTGGGAAAATCAGGAGCTCTGCTTCCCGGGGCAGGTGTTTCCTGCTGTGGGACAACTCCAGGAGGGCTGTCAAGGAGTTTTCCCATTGTCCCAGCTCTCCAAGGTGTCCCACTGCCCTGGATGAGATCTGTTCCCGTTCCACAGGGCCTCTCCCTTACGAGTGTTTGGTGTCGCTGACGCATTCCAGAGTGGGCAGAGGCCACAATCCGGGTTTTTTCCCGGCTGTGCCGTGGAACTCTCCATAAAGTGGTGACCTTTGGAAGCTCGTGCCTGGCTCACCTGCTCCTTTCGCTCCTCCCAAGGATCCACATCCCCCACGGCACCAAACTGGTCCCCACTGGGGCGAGGCCAGGGGGGCTGATCCCAAAGTGTTCCCAAAGTGATCCTGAAG